GTCACCACAACATGAGGAACTGTATTAAAGGGTCACAGCATTAGGAAGTTTGAGAACCACTGACCTAGAACATAGTATGGAATCGTTATATTTATCCCATTGTTGTTACTATTGCTATAACTTGGTCTTTGGGAAAGTGATAGGAGAGGGAAATGCTTTATATACATCATTATGCCAAAGGCTATGCATTAATTTTTGCTGCTTGTAAGACAAAGCCGCTCTGTTCAATTTAATTTGAAATTGTTTTTCCAGGCTTTCATTTCCTCTCTTCCCATACACATAGTGTCCTAGAACAGACTCCAGATAGCCATTTTCATTACAACCTCTAATTCCCTCTTTGCCAAAAGGTTTGTGTATCCACTGCAAGATGGTATGGTTATCCCAACACCAACTCTTCTGCCTGTTCCATCAGTATTGCACATTGGCCTGACTGACCCAGCTCCAACAGGTCACCTGTGCACCCTGCATGAATTAACTCCATTGATGTTGTCTGCTCCCATTGTAGCTAATGGCACTGACTCAGCCTTCCATGTGCTTGCTGCTAAGCCAGCCCATACTGCTCTAGCATCCGTAGCAATGCCTGTGCGTGAAACCAACCCTTGGGCACAAGCCCTTGATGCTGTTAACAAGGGAATTGCAGCCACACATTCGGGTAAGGTGGCCACAGATGGTGGTGAGGATTCTGGGATCAGCTAAGTGACCCTGGTTTGAAAAATCAGCCATTTACCTGAGTAGGAACCAGGGAGAAGTGCTTTTAGGAAAAGTATGTTCTCTCCTGGAAATAAACTACTATTAAGAAAGGATGGAGAAGGAGAAAAAACTGAAGAGGTTAAATTGACAGTTCTTAAGACTATGGAACAGAACCACCCATAGGACTTTCATAAAGGACAGATTCCTGGGCCTACCCTGAGGGGGTCTGTCACTGGATTTGGAAATAGGTGGATAAGCCTATAGGGTGAGGGGACCCTGTCTCCCATAATGGCAGGCCCCAAAACAAGAGCTATAAAAAACATTTCATTTTTGCTTTTCTGTACTTTCTAGTTTTCCTATAATGAACATTTAACCATAAAACCAAGAGAATTTTAAACAGTAATAAAGGCAGTTCGTCAGGAAGGCAACATGTGTCAGGAAGCCAGGCAGGGCTCATGAGGTACAGAACCAAGTATTTTCTCTTCGTTCTATTAGAGTAGAAGGTGAGTCACCTTGGGCCCTTTGCGCATGTGCAAGGTGGTTTCTGTACCATAGATGAGCCACAGCATCTGGGAAGGGTTTCCTGTGCCAGCCAGCTGCCTGGTTCAGTGCAGTTGAACCATATCTAGACAGCTCCTCAACGTGGCTGAGACAGCAGCATGATCTAACACATGCTGCCACAAAACTCCTCTGCTAGTAACAGATTATTCCACTAGAGGGATTTGCTCCACGTTAGGGTCATTCAAATAACCAAGATCATCAGGTGAAGAAAAACGCTCCGAAAGACTGACTCTTTTCTCTCTCTCATGTTGGTTCCAGGGACCGAGTGGGGTCAATCTTCTGGTGCTGCCTCTCCAGGTCTCTTCCAGGCTGGTCACAGACGTACTCCCTCTGAGGCTGACCGCTGGTTAGAAGAGGTGTCCAAGAGCGTCCGGGCTCAGCAGCCCCCAGTCTCAGCTGTCCCACTGCAGCCAGCCCTCCAGCCGCCTCCACCCACTGCCATCTCCCAGCCAGCGCCACCTTTCCAAGGGAATACATTCCTCACCTCTCAGCCCGTGCCAGTGGGTGCGGTCCCGCCGCTACAGCCAGCCTTTATCCCTGCCCAGGCCTATCCTGTGGCCAATGGGATGCCCTATCCAGCCCCTAATGTGCCTGTGGTGGGCATCACTCCCTCCCAGATGGTAGCCAATGTGTTTGGTACCGCAGGCCACCCTCAGGCTGCCCATCCCCATCAGTCTCCCAGCCTGGTCAAGCAGCAGACATTCCCTCAGTATGAGACAAGCAGTGCTTGTGCCAGTCCCTTCTTTAAGCCTCCTGCTGAGCACTTCAATGGTTCTGCAGCTTTCAATGGTGTAGACGATGGTAGGTTGGCCTCAGGAGACAAGCACACAGAGGCTCCTATAGGCACTTGCCCAGTGGATCCTTTCGAAGCCCAGTGGGCTGCATTAGAGAGCAAGTCCAAGCAGCGTACTAACCCCTCCCCCACCAACCCCTTCTCCAGTGACCTACAGAAGACGTTTGAAATTGAACTTTGAGCAGTCCCCATGGCTTATGTATTTTGTCTGTATTTAGGCAAGGGCAGGGGGAGGGTGAAGGTCAAAGGAGCAAAGGAGACTTTGTGTTCCCAATAGCACACTTTTCACTAATCCCAAAGGTCCCAAGGAGCATGTCCAGGTGCGGAGTGCTGTGTGGGGTGATTTTTGAAAAAAGTGAGAAAACCATTCCTAGAAAAGAGCTGTCCTGTGAGGCTAAAGAAGTCAAGAAAATGTTGCCCTTTGTCCCCCTCCTGCCTCAGCCCCTTACAAATCTCTGACAACAGAGAGGCAGATGTATCGGAACAGGAATCTGTATTCAAAGCACATTTAATGGAATATAGAACCCAACGGGAAGCAAAACGATCTCCCTTTTTTTTTTTTTTCAGGCCATGCACCTGCCTCCTCTCAATACTGGCCCATCTTAGAGATTGAGAATAGGATGGCCTATGCTTGGGCCGAGGACAAGAGGCAGGCGGTGCTGCCAGAATCCCAGGAGGGCGCATCAGCAGCTGCCCCAGCAGAGCTATATTTTAGGGGTAAAGTTGAGCTTCCATTTTGAGTAAGAATAAATATTATAAATATATATCAAAAAAGCCAAATCTTTATTTTTATGCATTTAGAATATTTTAAATAGTTCTCAATATTAAAAAGTTGTATAAGTTGTAAGTAATCTTGCCAAAGGTAAAAGGGTTAGCTGTAAGAAATTGTACATAAGATTGATTTATCGTTGATTTCTACTGAAGTAAAAGGGGAAAAGCTGGAGGTGCAGACCGGATCCCTCGCTTATTTGGTATCAGTCATTGTAAGTAGAGTAGCACATTGCAACAACAATCATGCTTATGACCAATACAGTCACTAGGTTGTAGTTTAAATAAAGAAAATGAAAGAGTAGTATTGTCCTGGTTTTAAACCTATGGTGAAATTCTAATATTATTTTAATGGAATCAGTCTAAATATGCTCTATAGAGAATATGTATTTTCTTTTATATATTGCTGCAGTTTCCTTATGTTAATCCTTTACTTGTTTTAACACTAAGGTGACAATGACATCATATGCATAGACTGGAACGCAGGTTATTCTGTTGGTTTGTCATGTGGGTCTTGGTGGGTTTTGTTTTGTCCTTTAAGTGTGTTCCCATGAGTTTTGTGGGGATGGAGTTTCTGGTTTTATCAGGTGTGTGTGTCTCCGTGTGTGTCCTCGTCCCCCTCCCTTGTGGACAGAACATCCCGTTGCCAGTTGCAGCCACTTGACCTCTGGTAACAATGTGAGATCCCATCTCATTTTTACTTTTGAACGTTGGCCTTACAATCAAATGTAAGTTATATATATTTGTACTGATGAGAATTTATAATCTGCTTTAACAAAAATAAATGTTCGTGGTAGAAGCTTTTGCCCATAAAGGGCTGTTCTTTCCCCTTTTCTTTATTAGCAGTTGACTTAGTTCTTTCAGGTCTTGTTCCCTCTCTCCATTCTGCTATTGCTGCAGCTCTCTAGTTTGGTGGCTAGAAAATCTTTTATTTTCTAATATATTCTTTTATTATTTTTCAGAGAGAGGAAAGGAGAGAGAAAAACATCAATTGATCAGTTGCTTCCCACACGCGCAACCCTCTGGTGTGCGGGCAACACTCCAATTCTCACCGGCCAGTGCTCTGGTATATTCTTATAGTTCATATTTGTATTCATTCTTTAGGCTTTGGTTGATCCTAAATGCATCTCTAACATCATATTCTTGCTGCCTAAAGTGTGGTCTGGACAACAGCATGGACTTCACCTAGGAGCTGGTTAGAGATACAGAATCTCAGCTCCCCACCCTCCTCCAGACCTTGTAAGCAGAATCTGCATTTGAGCAAGATTCACAATCAGATGTCCAGAGCTGGAGCAGTGAGTCTCAACCTTGGATATGTATCAGAATCACTTGGGGAGCATTTAACATCCTCATGGCTGGGCAGTACTCTAGACCAATTCAATTCAAATCTCTGGAGAGTGGAACCCCTGGTTCTGTTTTTTAAAGGCTCCCTCTGTGGAAGGGGGTTGAGGACCAGTGGTTTAGATTGAGTTTTACTCTCACCTTGAACTTCAGCCCACTAGTCTGTGACTAGTTCTAAGAAGAGCTAGCTAACCTCAAACTTACCTTCTGGAAATATGTTACCAATGGGCCAAATACTGGTTTAATTAAAGAACTGGGGAGTCCAAGAAAATTAGAAATTTTCTAATTTCTATAACAAAACCAGCCATGGTAAATCAAAGGGAATGGTCCTCAATATTTTTAAATGGAAAGAAAAGATCTGTGCCTTGGCCCATGATAGGTAGACTAATAAGTATCCCTCACTCAGCCAGCATGATCATGATGAATAAAACCTTTCCCTTAGCACCTGTCTTTCCTATGTCTCTGAATAACCTGTGTCACTAGGCCCAGCCAGCCCTCTGGAGGATTTGTAAAAAGTTAAGTGGAAAGGGACTAAGAAGCCACATTGAATCCAGGGCTCTTACTTTAGCAGCAAGGAATTGGCAGTCCTGAGATGCAGAATGAGTTCCACCAACTCAAACCATTTTTGAAGCCACTTTCTTATTATTACATTGCCCTCCCCTCCATTGGGACCACCATCTTGCTGTTGCTGGTTTCTTTAAATATATGTTTTTTTAATTTACTTCAGAGAGAGGGAAGGATAGGGAGGCAGAGATAGAAACATTAATGATGAGAGGGAATCATTGATAGGTTGCTTCCTGCACACTTCCTACTGGGGATCAAGCCTGCAACCCGGGCATGTGCCCTGACCGGGAATCGAGCCTTGACCTCCTAGTTCATGGGTTGATGCTCAACCATGGGGCCACACTGGCCAGGCTGCTGTTTTTAATAATAGACTGGCTTTTATCTGGCAGCAAACACTTTGATTCACAGATTCCTACTCGAGAAGGAGTGTCTCCTTGTTGGTCGCGGTACAGAGCAGGCCCGTCGATCAGCTCCATACTGGTGTGAGGCGGTCCTCACAGCCAGCCCTTCCTGTTGGCCTCAGGAAGAGGGCTTCCGGCTCAGGCTTCCCGATGGAAGTAAGCAGCTTTTCCAGTTCCTGCATGCTCAGATAATAATGCAGCTGCCACCCTTTCATACTAAATCCCTAGGTGAGCCTTACCTCATAGTTCACTTTCCTGAGAGCTTTCACCAGTGTTATGCTGTTAACCATATGCACAGATGGGCTTGAAGCTGGTTGCTACTTACTACCTGGAAGGTTGAGAGAGGGACTAGAGCACAGGCCACTGTTTGACCCCAGATGAGATCTAGTTCTAGCAAAGCATCCTTCCCTGTCACAGCGGGAGTTAGGTAGGTGTTAACTAAAATAGTTATGCACCTCCCTATCCAGCTTCACATGAAGCGAGAACCTGGTAGCTCATTTTAAAACACAGTGAACTGCTCCTGTGTACTAGAAATTATAGAGGGAAGTTGTAAAGCAAAGCATATCCTAATCCAAACAGGTTTCTTTCCGTTGTGTCAGAGATGCTGACCTGGCCTCTGCTGAGGCTAAACGCTGGGTGGGTGGGATAGGGTGGGGAGCAGTGTCTCTAGAAGATAACTCCCTTGGCAGCCACAAAGGGGAGAGTGAGAGTCTCCCTGCCTTTCTCCCCAGCCCTACGAGTTGTTTCAGAACTGGGGCTGGAGCCAGCCTTCATCCCTGCTGCCAGACTGGCTGCGCATGAGGCTGGGCACGGGAACAGCTGGCACAGCAGAAGCTGGAGTAATACTCATTGCCACAGAGCTGGGCCTGCAGGATGAGCTCACAGTTGGCCAGCTCCGGCTGATCCATGCAATCCCTGCCGGGGTCCCTCGGCTGGGCGGCCAGTGCTGCAAAACAACAAGGGAGAAAGAAAGGGTGAGGAAGTTCTGTGCTGAAGATTCTCACCATTTCATTCCTTACAAGTGGCACGGTGGCTGTCAGAGTCCCCCAGAATGCAGTTGCTCTAACCTTTCAACACCTGTATGTACAACTACAGGAGGAATCACAGTTTCCACCCATTCTTTTTTTTTCTTCAATTACAGTTGACATGCAATATTATATTTGTTTCAGGTGTACAACATAGTGATTACACATTCATATAACTTACAGAGTCTCAATAAGTCTAGTTCCCATCTAAACCATGCATAGTTATTACAGTATTACTGACTATATATTCCCTATGCTGTACTTTACATTTCTGTGACTGTTTTTATAACTGCAATTTGTATACCTTAATCCCTTCCCCTTTTTCACCCATCCTCCTAAACTCTCTCCCCTTTGGAAATCATCAGTTTGTTCTCTGTATCTGAGTTTCTGTTTTGTTCATTTTTTTTTTTCAGATTCCACATGTAAGTGAAATCATATAGCATTTGTCTTTCTCAGTCTGACTTGTTTCACTTAACATAATACCCTCTGGGTCCATCCATATTGTTGCAAATGGCAAGGTTTCATTTTTTATGGCTGAGTAATATTTCCTTTTATATATATGTACCTCATCTTTATAAAATAATTTAGCGATAGATACTTAGGTTGCTTCCATATCTTGGCTACTAAAAATGCTACCATGAAGATAGGAATGCATATGTCTTTTCAAATTTGTGTTTTGGATTTCTTCAGATAAATACCCAGAATTGGAATTGTTGGGTCATATGGCAGTTGTATTTTTAATTTTTTGAGGAACCTCCATACTGTTTTCCATAGTGGCTGTACAATCTGCATTCCCACCAACAGTGCACGAGGGCTCCCTTTTCTTCACATCTTTGATAACACTTGTTGATTTATTGGAGATAGACATTCTGACAGGTATGAAGTGATATCTCACTGTGATTTTAATTTATATTTCCCTGATGGTTAGTGATGTTGAGCATCTTTTCATATGTCTATTGGTCACCTGTATATCCTCTGTGAAGAAATGTCTGTTTTGGACCTTTGCCCTTCTTTAATTGGATTGTTTGGGGGTTTTTTGGTGTTAAGTTTTGTGAGTTCCTCATGTATTTTGGATATTAACCCTTTATTGGATGTCTCAATGAATATCTTCTCCCATTCAGTAGGTTGTCTTTTCAGGTTTTTTATTTTTGTTTTGTTAATCCTCACCTGAGGATATTTTTCCATTGATTTTTTTTTTTTTAAGAGAGGGTGGGACGGAGGGGAAGAGACAGAGAAACATCAATGTGAGATTGGTTGCCTCCCACATGTGCCCCATCCAGGGCCGGGGAACAAGGCAGCAACCGGGGCACATGCCCTTGACCAGATTGAACCCATGACCCTTCAGTCCACAGGCCAACGCTCTACCCACTGAGCAAACTGGCTAGGGCTCTATTGTTTAAAACTCTATTTTATTTATTTGCACTCTGATCTTTATTATTTCCTCCCTTCTCACTTTGGGCTTTGTTTGTTCTTTTTTCTAGTTCCTTTATGTGCAAGGTTAGTTGTTTGAGCTTTTTATTGTTTTTTGAAGTAGGCCTGTATTGCTATTTCTCTTTCTCTTCAAACTGCTTTGGCTGTGTCCCATAGATTTTGGGTCATTGTGTTTTCCTTTACGTTTGTCTCAAGGTATCTTTTATTTTTTTATTTTTTTTAAAATATATTTTATTGATTTTTTACAGAGAGGAAGGGAGAGAGACAGAGAGTTGGAAACATCGATGAGAGAGAAACATCGATCAGCTGCCTCCACTGGGGATGTGCCCGCAACCCAAGTACATGCCCTTGACCGGAATCGAACCTGGGACCCTTCAGTCCGCAGGCCGACGCTCTATCCACTGAGCCAAACCGGTTTCAGCTCAAGGTATCTTTTAATTTCTTCCTTGATCTCATTGTCAACCCATTCATTGTTTAATAGCATGTTATTTAGCCTTCATGTGTTTTTGTCTTTTTCAGTTTTCTTGTTTTGATTTCTAGTTTAATACCATTGTGATTGGAAAAGATGCTTGATATGATTTCAGTTTTCTTAATTTATTGAGACTTCTTTTATGGCTTAACATGTTGGCTATCCTGGAAAATGTTCTGCGTGCACTTGAAAAGAATATATATTCTGCTCTAAGGTGAAATGTTCTAAAAATGTCAATTAAGTCCATCTGGTCTAATGTGTCATTTATAATTTCTTGTTGGATTAATCCCTTTATGAAATGCCCTTCTTTGTCTCTTGTTACAGCCCTTGTTTTAAAGTTGATCTTGTTTAAGTATTGCTCCCCCAGCTTTAGGGGTGGTGTCTATTAGCATGAAATATCTCCTTCCATTCCTTTACGTTGTGTGCTTGTTTTTCTAGCTGAAGTGGGTCCGTTGTGGGCAGCATACGTGTGGGTCATGTTTTTCTATCCATTCAGTCACCCAATGTCTTTTGATTGGAGCATTTAGTCCGTTTACACTTAAAGTAATTATTGATAGGTATGTAGTTATTTCCATGTTATTGTTTTTGTAGTTCTTCGCTGTTCCTTTCTTATTCTTTTGCTCTCTAACAAGTATATGTTGGTGACTTTCTGTAGTATCGTGTTTGGATTCCCTTCTCTTTATTTCTTGCATATCTCTTGTAGATTTTTGGTTTGTGGTTACCATGTGCTTCCGTATGTTTATACCAGTCTATTTTAAGTTGATGGTTGCTTAAAGTCAAATACATTATAAAATGACTATAATTTTTACTTCCTTTGTGTGTGTGTCCCTTATTTTATTACTGTAATTACACATGATCGTCCTACTTCTGCTTTTAACCTTTGTACTAGCTGTTGATCCACTGCCTTAATACTGTTTGCCTTTGTCAGTGAGAATTTTTATTTCCTATGATAGCTTTGCAGGGTAATCTTGGTTATAAGTCTGTGCTTTTCATCACTTTGAATATTTCTTGCCAATCCCTTTTGACCTGTAAAGTTTCTTGTGAGAAATCAGCTGACAGTATTATGGGACCACCTTTGTAGGTAACTAACTGCATTTTTCTTGCTGCATTTAAGATTCTCTGTTTGTCATTCACCTTTGGCATTTTAATGTGTCTTGGTGTGGCCTATCTTGTTTGGGACTCTGCACTTGTGTCTATTTCCTTTGCCAGATTGGACAAGTCCTTTGTCATTATTTCTTCAAATAGATTTTCAATCCCTTGCTCTCTTCTGCTTCGGTACCCCTACGATGCAAATGTTGGTTTATCCTGCCCTAGCCAGTTTTGCTCAGTGGATAGAGTTTTGGCCCTCGACGGAAGGGTCCTAAGTTCGATTCCGGTGAAGGGCATGTGCAGGAGGCAACCAATTGATGTGTCTGTTCCCCTCCCTTCCACTCTCTCAAAAAAAAAAAATGTTGGTTTATCCCAAAGGTCCCTTATACAAATTTTTTTTCATTCTTTTTCTTGGTTTTTCACTATCTTATTTTCCAGATCTGATTCTGTGTTTCATCTAATCTGCTGTTGATTCCCTCTAATGTAGTGTTCACTTTTGACTGGTTCTTTTTTTTTGTATGATTTCTCTTTGTTGAGGTTCTGAGTTCATCTGTTCTTCCACTGAGCTCACTGAACATCCTTATCACCAGTGTTTGAACTCTTTATCTGGTGGATTGCTTGTGCCCATTTCATTTAGTTCTTTTTCTGGAGTTTTGTCCTGTTCTTTCATTTGGAACATGGCTGTCTCTTCATTTTGGCTGATTCCCTGTGTTTGTTTCTATGTACTATGTAAGTCTGCTTTGTCTCCCAGACTTGGCAGAGTGGCCTTATGTAGCAGGTGTCCTGTGAGGCCCAGTGGAGCAGTCTCCTTATTCACCTGAGCTGGGTGTTCCAGGAGTGTCCCTTATGTGGGTTGTTTGTTCTCCTGTTGTAGTTGAGCCTGATTGCTGTTGGCATGTCAGTAGGTGAGATCGACCCTCAGGCTGACTGGCCATGACTACAGAAAAGCTGTAAGGGCTGACCCCAGGAGCAGGAGTTGCTTTAGCAGATCTCTTGTGCCAGTCAAGTCTGCTCGTCCCGTGTGTTGTTTGTGGAACTGATTGGTGATACTTTGGTGTGGTCTGAAGCTGGCCACTGTCTGTGTTGGTTCTGGAGGCTCTTGGGAAGGGCTCTGGTGCAGGCCAAGGTCAGCCGCCATCTGTGCCTAGCTTGGGGCTGCCTAATGGGAGCTACCAAGTGATTTGCGATTGGTTGCTGCTTGTGCTGGCCTTGGGGGCACCCAGGAGAGGCTAAGCTGCGAACTGAGGCCAGCTGCCACTAGTGCCATATTGTGGCCACTTAGCTGAAGCTACACTCCAGGCCAGCATGCGCTGCAGCTTATGCCAGGCTTGGGCCACATAATGGGAGCTACAGGGCACACCAAGACCAGCTGCTGTTTGTTTGGGAGATTTTATGAAAGTTTGCAGCAAGGACAGCTGCTTTTGTGGAAAAGTCACTGGAAGCGGCTTAGGTTGGCTGTGAGTTGGTTGGGGCAAACAGTGTTGGCCAGGTTAACGGAGAGCTCAGATTTGGCACCCGCCTCCCTCCTTGCTGGCTGGGTGTGGGACTTGCCCTCTCCTACCAGTCTCGTCATGGCTGCTTCTGTATATCCTTAGTTATAGGACTTCTGTTTCCTCTTCTTCAGGCGGTTCTCTAATTTAGGTATAATTTGATGTGATCGTGGGGGAAGATGAGCACAATATTTACTCTGCCATCTTGACTGGAAGTCATTTTCCGTCCATTTTTGGCCCTGCTTTAGCATGCAGTGATCCTCCTGTTATTCTTTGGCCACATCAGCACAGCCCATTGCAGACTCCCAAGTATTGACTTGACTAGATGATTAAACATCTCGAAGTTAACTCCCTACCCTTACTGTTGAGACCTGACAAGCTAAATGCCCTCTGCCTTGGCCTTTAGATTGGGAAGAAGAAAGAGTAGGATCGGCCCTAAAGAAAAATTTTGAGTTGGCAAGTGCTGTTTTGTCTTCTCTCTCACTGCTGGTTTCCTCCCGCCTCAAAGCTTTGTTTATTCAGCAGTCCCAGTTTACCTTAGTCACCTTGTTTCCCTGTTTTCCTCTCCCGCCCTGAGAAAGCAGTGCGAGTTAGTCAAGGTGATAGGAAAACGGTCTTGTGAGCAATGCTCTAATACTGAGCACAGAGCACTGGTCCCCTCCTTGGCATTTACTAGGAGTTTCTGTATCTGATAAACTGCGAGAGTTTCCGTCTGCTGCTTCACCTTAGGACCGAAGTGGCCTATCTACGTAACCTCCTTTTTCTTTCTGGAACGGGCTGTTCCCCGCTTGGCTTGGTCCCGAGTAGCACTTTCCCAAAAGTCAAACCTCTTGGACCTCGGGGAAGACTTATCCCAAAGTACAACTCAGTGACCATTGACTATAGCGGCTAAGCACACCCCCTCCAGAGCCAGACTTCTGGGGCGCAGTCCTGGCTCTCCCACTTACTTGCCAGCTGGCTCACTTTAGGCAGATACTTAAGCTCTGTTTCCCCATCTGCAATGGGCACATGAGTGTTTAACTGTGTTTTTTCTCTGTACTATTTTCTGTTTCTAAACAATATTTTAAGCAAAAAGAGTAAGTCCTCATAGTAGAAGATGTCCCTTACTCTATTACTCTAGAGCAGCTGTTCTCAACCTGTGGGTTGCAACCCCTTTGGGGGTCAAACGACCCTTTCACAGGGGTCGCCTAAGACCATCAGAAAACACATATATAATTACATACTGTTTGTGATTAATCACTATGCTTTAATTATGTTCAATTTGTAAATGAAATTGGAGGTCACCACAACATGAACTGTATTAAGGGGTCGCGCGCGGCATTAGGAAGGTTGAGAACCACTGCTCTAGAGCAAGCCTGTCAAACTCCAAGGCTAACACGGGCCAGATAAACAAGGTTTAAGTTTATGTGGGCTGCAAAAAAAACCCAAAAGCTTCAGTTTTCATAGAAGCATGCTGAATACACAGGGCTGAAATAAATGAGCAATCATTAACATAATAGAACATTTTAGTAAAATATTTTTTCTTGAACATTAACTTACCAGACACTGAAAACTGCACAAATTAATAAGTATAACGCAAATAAACCTATTTTTCTTTTTCTCCAAAAGCGAAATATTTCCTGTTGCGCACACCAAACAAGTTAGTCCAAAACTAATGATGTGGCAGTCGGCTGCTAAAATATTCACTGCTAGTATTAGTGGAGAGAAATGGTGCATGTAAGAGAAATGAATGCAACACGATTATAGTTATCAGTCATTAGTGAATATTGTAGTTTGGTAATTATGTATAACAGGATATTGTAAAAAGTTATGAAATTTGTATTAAACTGTTTCTTACATACCGTTATATTGGCTGGGCCGCATGCCCACGAGTTTGACATGCTTGCTCTAGAGGGTGACTGGTTCAAGCACCACCCCCGCCCTAATGCTAACACTAATTTCAGTGTTCGCCACCAAACCGTGACTAGGGCAAGGTGAAACCCCACCCCCACCCCCCAAAGGAAAAATGGCTGCAGCCTAATCCATGGAATGAATACAGTTAGGAGGGAGGCCACTTCTAGTAAAGAAAGATGCCCCCAAAATATCTAAGATTAGCAACACGGCAGTCCAGCACGGGTGGGAGAAAAGTGGCCGACGGAGGCCATAGTGCTGTTTCCAAGAGGCAGGTCACAGCAGACATTTCAGCATGGTGACCACACGTCATCAGGAGTCCCACCAGCCTTCGTCAAGCAAGTTTCCCATACAAAAATATCTACAGGAATCACGGCCGTCAGGGTCCTCCTAACCGCTCTCTGTCAAATAAATCTGTATTCTGGTTTGTCTCAAGTCTGGTAAGCTTGGTTATTATGTAGACAAGAGATGGATTTGCTGGGCATCATCGGAGGCGGGAAGTAGCTCCTGCAGTAGGAGGCTGTCACCAAGTATCTGAGCACCTGGTGCTGCCAAGACCTGGGCTGGACTCCGGGGACATGGGTCCCGGTCACTGTTCTAAGGAGCTCACAAACGAGGCCAAGTGTCAGTCCAACTCCCTAAGCAACACTTCCCCCAGACTGTCAGCCCCTAGCACTGACCAGTCCCCACCCTAGCCCCCCGCCCCTCTGGCTTATTTGAACACACAGCTCCTGTGAGATTGAAGATTAAACCACAAGCTGTTTCGTCAATTCTGAGATGCACTTATTTTCATATTTTAACACCTGTCAAATTGGACTGCAAATTAATTAATGGAGTCTTAGCATTGAATTGGCCTTTTTTCCTTAGTGGTATGAAAATGCATCTTAAAACATGGTATTTAGATTTAATAACAACTTAGAGCAAGAGCTAGAGAATATTAAGGCTGACATATCAACTTACTAAATAATGCAAGGAAGATTCTGCCCACTTACAGGTGTAATCGTTTAGTGAAAAGAACATTAAGTATGAGGATTAGTGCCATCTTGGCCACAAATCTGTTGCATGACCTGTGGCAGCATCCCTGGAGCTCTCCCGCTGAGTGTCTTGCTTGTAAGATGGCGGCACTAATCCCTGCCTTTCCTTTCTAGGCATATGATCAAAGGCCTTACAGGCACTTTCCAATCGTAGGACCATGTTTTGTTGCCCTAATTAGAATGGACAGATTTTAATGACCTGCCTTAAGTATTATAAACTTCCAGTCAGTCCTGTTTCTCAAAACCAGTAAATCTAAAAAATGATATTTAGCATCATCCATTAAGCTATTAGCAGATGCCTGTCATCCACTTATTTCCTTCATCCTTACTATAGCCTGTCAGGTAGTGAGGAGAGGAAGTCAGGGAGGCCAAGGCCCTGCCCGAGTCACACCTGCAAGAACAGGCAGAGTGAGTCAGGACTTGGACCAGAGTACCCGGGCCTCAGAGTCTGCTCGGAACAAGCAGCCTACCTACCTGGTGGGCCCACCTTCACCTCAGTGCTGCGGCTGACTGCCTGGCTGCCACGGTAGGTGCTGCACGTGTAGGAGCCCTGGTCCCCGGCCCGCAGGTTGTGGATCAGCAAAGTACCATCTGGAGACTGGTGGACACGGTGGCCATCGGCCCGTATCGGCAGCCCGTTCCTGGAGGGGAGGGAAGAGGACGTGAGAACTGTCCAGGGCCAAGAGGCAGGGGGAGGAGGCAATCCAAGACCTTTCCAGAGTCAGCTGCTCCCTCTGTGGACAGAGGGCCCTCACCTCACAGAAGAGGTGGGACGGTACCCAAAAGAAAGGACATTATCAAAGTGAAAGAAGTCAAAAGTGACAAACACACCAACCGAGCATAGCGCTGAGGGCTGTGACTGTGCCTCTGCCCCACAGGGGAACCACATTTCATTAACGAAGGATGTAGCAGCCAGGAGGTGCCGGGCCCTGTGCTGAATGAAGCGCCTAAGCATTCCCCGCCCCCAGGCACTGGGGTGGGGGTGCAGGTGTTGGGGGGAGACTGGCCTGAGGATGAGGAGAGGGCAGCATGGGGTCTTGGGAGCTTGGAGGAAGGCCATGGCCGGGCCGCGGCTCTGGTCAGGAGAGTGGACTGGGTCCAGGGGGTAACAGGACTGACGTGGTATCTACTTTGAAAGGGTCTCTGACTGCAGTGGAGGCTGAGGGACAAGCCTGAAAACAGACCAGGTCAGAGGCTGCTGCACAGGTAGATGACACGGCAAGAAAGGGACTGGGAGGAGGGTCGGATGTGGGAGAGGAGAAATGGAGGACAGCGGTTTCTAGGCTGGGGTGCTGGGTGATGGGGGTACCCTCCACCATGGGAGACCCAGGACAGTGATGAGGGGTGAACGGTGAGGTTATTGTCCACCATTTTGCATTCGGGTGCCTGTGAGATACCAGGAGGCATCGGGTTTGAGGTCTGGACCCAGGTCATGCATCTCCACTGGGTGGTCCCGGAAACGTGTGTGTGCGTGTTTGCCGAAGGCGACGTTAGATAAACCGAAGACCAAGGCCCGACCTTGAGGGCCATTGGCGATGAGCCAGCTGGGGAAGAAGCAGGAAGGGCACAGGCCGTGTGGGGATTGGGATGTGTCCAGAGGATTTAGGAGCAGGGAAGTAGCTGGGGGCCTTGGCCAGGGGAGGAGGTGAGGCCCCCGTTCGAGGGCTGAGTGGGTGGACAGGCGGAGACATGCTCTAAACAGAGGTGCTGTGAAGAGGAAACTGCTCAAAGACCCGGATTCAGGGAAACACGGGGAGTCCTGAGCATGTTCCCACTGGGAAGAGCCGGGGGAGGCAAAGGTGAAGGTACAAGCCTCGTCCAGGGTGAGGGCCATTCCTGTCCTGGGATCACCCACTTGACCACGAACATCCTTCCCCTCCTCAGCCTTCAAGGCCCAGCCAGTCACCACACGGCCACCCCTTCCTGGATTCTCCCAGAGGGGAGGCGGCCGCGCTCTTCAGTGAGTGCGCAGACAGCGCTCAGGGGCACTGGGCATCTCCCGCCTGAGGGTATCGAGGGGCTCTGAGGATCCGGGATCCCCAAAACCAGTCTACTCGACTCTGCGAGGAGGAGGAAGCAAAAGGTGTGCGCTGAGTGAGCGAATCAGACCCACGAGTCCTAAACAGGCTACTGAAGTCCCCAAAGCTGAGGGTGGCCCAGTGGTTCTCAACCCCAGGGAAGATTGTGGCAACATTTGGAGACATTTTTTATTGTCATGACCTGTGAGGAGGTGCTACCGGCACCTAGTGGGCAATGGCCTAATGATGCTAGACACCCGACTGCACGGGATAGCCCAAAGTTACCGGGTCCAAGTTGGCACCAGTGCCGGCGTTGAGAACCCCCGGTATGGCCCAGCTAAGAGAAGAGAGCCGTCCTCTGGGCCTCACTGTGCAGGCGCCAGGCCTGGCGGCGGGAGTGGGAGAAGGGGGTGGGGACGGTGGGGACAGCAGCATCCCTGCAGAGAGGGGGACCTGTGCTCGGGCTGTGCAGCCTCAGGTGCGGGTCTGGAACGGAGCCTTACCGGGACCATCTGATGTTCACACTTTCTCCTGCCACCACACACAGCAGCCTGGCCGTGTCACCTTCCGGCACTGTCACCGTAGAGGGCAGCCCCGTGATGGTCAGCTCCCCTGGGCCCAAGGAGGGGGCATGGTTAGCCACTGTGCCAAGCCTGCGCACCCTGTGCCACCTGCCCTCCCAGGCCACTGGCCCCAGTCACCCTTCCATTCCACCTCCCCCTGCACCTTACCCAGAACTCTGAGCTGGACCCATCGCTGGTCTCGGTCCTGCCCATTGAAGGCGACACAGGCGTAGAAGCCACCATCTTCCACGGCCACTTGGCTGATGACCAGAGAGCCATCAGGCAGCTGCTGGTGTCTGGGGAACCAAGCAGAGTCGGGGGCTCCAGCCCTTGCAGATGGAGACGGGGGTGGGGGGGGCCGGTCTTCCTTTCCAGGTGGGAGTGGGTCTGACAGGGCCAGTGGGCAGCCAGCTGCCAGCACTCTCATTCACTGGAAGGTGTCTGACTCCTAACCCGGCAATAAATCATTTCACGTTTTCTGACACAAAATAATGTGTTTCCAGTTTTTGCTCCACTCATTTAGTGGGCTCACATCCTGGTCCCACCACTGAGGAGCTGTGTGGTGTTGAGCTTCTGTGTGAAAATGGGGTAGAATTACGTGGCTCTTCTGCAGACTGTGGTGGAGACCGGCCTCACGCTCACGTGGGGCCGCGTTTGCCGTTATGACAGCCAGGACTGTGCCTGCCTCCCTCCCCCAGCCACCACCTGTTCGCTGCCCTGCTCCTCTGTCCACTGACTGCTCTGCAAAGGCCCAAGGAGCCCTCTGCCCAGCAGCTCCATCTCGAGAGCCCCTGACTGGCCAGTGACTGCTGGCAGCTCCTTCCCCCACGGGCCTGCACAGGGTGGGGTGGGGCCGGCAGGGCGGGGAGAGGAGCTGACCAGACCTGGGAGAAGAGAGGGTCTGCCCGTCTCTCTGCCATTCGATGGTTGGGGGTGGGAAGCCCTCAGTGCGACAGGTCAGCCGGATCCGCTGGCCGGGATGGGCGTCCACCACTCCAGGCTGGCTCTGGTCCAGGCGTAGCCTGCAGAACAAGCACCCACAGCCCTGAGGGGGCCCCTGCTGCTGCCCCCCCATTCCCATCCATGCATGGGGTCGGGACCTCTGCACAAGCCTCATGGCCCCCTCCTTCTCCAGCCAGACTTAGCTTCCTAAAACCACCCCTCTGTTCTGCTAAGGACCCATCAACAACTACTGGGGCGAAGTCCAACGGCCACCTCCCCTACCTCCCCCCCTCCCCCCAGACTCTCAGACTGTCTCCTCCGCACCCCACACATCTGACTCTAGGTTGTTGGCCTGGGTTCCCTTTAGCCCCCTGCACCCCCTGCAAACCGTGCTCTTCTTCCAAGCTGTCCTGGGCCCTGACCCAGACTCTCTTCCCTTCCCGCAGCTCCTGCGTCCTGGGCCACAGCCCTGCCTGTTCCCACGGTTCCTCCTCAAGAGGCTGAGCTCAGGGGCCATGCTTGTCCAGTTCTCACCTCGCAGAGCCCTGAGCAGGGGCCACCAGCCTGGTCACACCCGCCTGGGGACCCGTTTGCCTTCCCTTCCCCCATCCACTGATCTCTATGGACCCTGGACCTCATGGGGGAGGCATTGCTGCCCTGTTACCTGGTCGAGGGCCGTGGGTGAGGAGAGGAGATGGCCCCCAGGCCCCCAGCATCCCTCCCTAGGCTGGAGTCCTGAGGACGGTGGCCCGGGGCGGGGTCCCTGGTCTGAGGGAAGTGCCTTGGCACGGTCGTGTCATCCCCTGTCATGAGGTCAGGAGGAGGAAGGAGTGAGCTGGGGGGGTTGGGGGGGGGGCGCGGGAGAAGGGTCGGCCATGAGGCCAGGGTGTGAACGTGGAGAAATGAGGGCCATGAGGAGCAAGCCCTCCACCCCAGCCACCTGAGTCCACGGTCCCATGCCTGGGCCCGGGGTGCCCCACTCAGGCCCTCTCAGCCAGTCCCTTCCCCCCTGGGGCCCTTGAGAACCCACTGGGGGAGGGGACAGAGACCTGTGATGCGAAGCTGGATCTTCAGAGAGTCGCGGCCTGGCCTGGCGCCACAGCTGTAGGTGCCAGCGTCCTCTGCCCTCAGGGGGCTGATGACCAGGGAGCCATCAGGCTGCGGCCTGTGTCTGAGTGAGTGGAACGGGGACTTGAGCTCTGGGCTCCTGAGGGCAGCAACGAGCCCGACGCCCCTCAGGCCTCAGTGCTCCAACCGGAGGGGACCGCAGCCCCTGCTCACCCCCATCCCAGGGGAATCCGAGGGGCTGTCCCTGGGGAGGATCCCGCACACACCTGTCAGAGGAGAGGGGCTGCCCGTCCTTCTGCCACCTGGTAGGGGTGTCCATGGAGGCGACACCCGGGCAGGAGAGCCGCACCACCCGCCCCAGGGGCGCCTGCACCAGAAAGGGCTCCGCGCCGGCCAGGCTCACCCTGGAAAGGTGGGCGGTGAGGACCTGAGCTACTGGCACACGTGCCACGACCGGGGCCCCTTCGTCAGTGGCCCATCCCCTCATGGGCACATGCGGGGCCAGGGGTGTCCTGGGAGGCCAAGCTCCAGAAGCCCATGGACTCGGGAATCTGCCCTCCCCTCCTCCCCCAGCCCCAGCACTGCCCCCCGGCCTGGCCCCCAGCAGCAGGGCGGCTCCCAGCCCAGGCGTGGGGAGGGCGGGAGGCCGCCAGGCCAGAGTCCCGCGAGGACCGACACGCTCCTGCTGCATTTTGTTTCTAATCTTCCCAAATCTCTCATCACTATGACGCAGTCCCAAGAGCAGTGAACAAGTGGAGCCCACCCGAACTGTGAGCTAGTGTCACCATTCCACAGGCAGGTCATGAAGCCCAGCTAGACAGACCCTGGGGACACTGGCAAGGTCTGCTGGTGAATCCAGGCACCGCCAGCTCCTGGCTGCCTGCGCGTCCCCAGGTGTCGAGGCCTCCAGGCAGGATGGGGAGGGAGGGCCGGCTGACCTCAGGGTTTTAGATCCA